CAAAGATTCTCACAACCTGCAGATCTTGTGGGTTTCCTTCTCGAAATCAACCAAGCATTTCTGCTTGGGAAGGTTAGGAACCCAAGCAGCGGCGGGGGGCGAAGAGAACAACTTTATAGATTTAATATTATTTTAGAGGGTGGAAATAAATTTTTTTTAAAAAAATCTTCTTAATAAAGCAAAGAAACGTGTATCCAGTTTCGCATGCTGCTTTAAACAAACTGGATGTTAAAGAGGGACGGGTGTGGGGTGTGTGTGTGTGAGAGAGACAGAGAGAGAGAGAGACAATGAGCGAGCGCTTGAGCAACTGACCTGCCCGTTGTTGTTTGAAGCTCCTTTGTTGTTAGTAAGTTTCAATTTTCCAAAAGAAATTTCTTGGCGCATCCAGTGAGCCCCCGTGTTGGGGGAATCCGGATGCATATAGACTCGATTTCCTGGAGAAAGAAATACGTTGTTTACATATGCCCCTGGCACTGCCCAGTCCCAACTCCTTACCACGTAGAACACACACACACGTGTACACACACGCGCACACACACACCTTACTCCACAGTGAGGCCCATTAACTGGGGCATTTTTAGGCCGCGCTTTCTTCCTATTAACTGGGCATGATTAATCTTTTGCATAATCCTCCCCCTTCTCGCCGCTCAGTCTGTCCCCCTTTCTCCCTCGTTTCCTTTTAGAAGTCATTGGCCGATCGTTTTAAAAGTCGCTCGAGCCAGTCCACAAAGGCTTTAATTAATCATTCTCACCTAAATAAGTGTCAGGAAAACGTGTTAATTGGAAGGACTTGCCTTGCACATTGGTGTCCGCTTTGCCGCAAGGAACCCATTTGCCTCCTTGAAACCTCCAGTGATTGGGATCCGCCAAAATCACATCCACAAAAATATTGTAATGAGCCGTGGGATCGAGACCAGAAATGTTAAAACTTAAAAAAGGAAACATGCGCCTATTTAAATTAAGGGAGGGGAGGGAAGGAGGAAAACAAAGAGAACAGAAATATAAATGTTAAAGATTAAAAGCAAGAAGCGCGGCGCCACATAGCAAAGCAAAACTTGATCTTGCAACGCAGATAAGCGAATGTTTGCTGGGTTAGAAAAGGGGGCTGGGGGCGAAAAAAGTGGGGCCGAAGTCGGGGGGAGAGGCGAGTGAGGCGGGTGATGTGGAGTGGGAGGTCGGCAGGTATCCCTGCCCAGGTGGATAGCGAGGTTGGCGACCCGCGCATCTACCACTCGGCACATCGGTGCGGTGATGCGTCCTTCCCATTGCCAGACAGCCAGCTGTGCCCGGTCGCCGGCCCGGGCGCCCACTCTCGCCTTCTTCCAGGCACCGGCGGGTCTCTCCGACCACCATCCAGGAGCAGGATCCCCTGGTCACATTGATAAATTCTCCCCATCCCCGCGGTGATCATCCCTTCCACTTCCCCTTTTCCAAAACTAGCCAACTCTTGGGCGCACCACAGCGCTTTCCACTCCACTCCCGAACCCAAATTGTCCCTGCCGCGGCGGTCACAACCCGAGAGAGCTCGTCCCCGGGCCGCGCCTGGAGCAGCGGCAGCCAAGAATGTAGCATTACCTTCCCTGTTTGGTGATGATCATCTCCGTTTGGTGCCGGTGAAATTTCAGCCAAAGGGGCCTGTTGCACAGGTACACCTGCGCTTTGCCGGGCACTAGCCCAGGCTGTGTGGAGGAGAACTGGTAGAACGGGGCGCCTTGGTAGGAGTGGCCGTACTGCTGTGGGTAGGGGTAGCCGGCCGCGGGGTAGCCCTGCGGTGAGGAGTTGGACAGGAGGCTGTTGTAGGCTCCGTTGGTGATGACCGGGTGGTGGGCCATGTAGCGGCTGGGGCTGCCGATGGAGAAGGCGGGGTGCGCCGGTCCGTGCTGGCTGGGGTACGGGAACATGGCACTGGGAGCAGTGGCCGCAGACTGGGGCTGGCTGGACTGAGAGAGGAGGTAGCGATCTGCTGCAGAGCCATCGAAACTGTGACGAAGCTCAGAGACCCCGTCCAAGACAGGAGAGAGTTTACTTCTCTGGACGTCCCCTGGTGAGTCCTTGGAGTCAGGAAAATTGTCTGTATCTGACTGATTCGTCATCCCTCTGGTAATTTTTTTCAAAGGTGAACTTCTCTCCAGGTTGTCAGTGGTCGAGATAATGGGATGATCGTGCAAGACAAGCTCGGTTCCGCCTGAATGTGGGTAGCTGCTGCTCACATTGAGAAATTTCTTGGAGAGCATGATAGAAGGAGAAAGGCAGTGCTCCAGCTGCATAGCTCTAGAACCTGAACACTCACCCTCCCGTCCCTGGTTTTTAAACTCCTATTTATCATAAACTAGAAATCCACAGACCCCCTCACTAGACGGAAAGCACTTCAACCAGCAAATGCTTCTCAAAGGTTTGATTTACTTTTTTTTTTCTCTGGGAGAAGAGATTGGCCAATTGACACTATGCAGCAATCAGAAAAGGCTCACTTTTGATCTTGCTGCTTGTGCAGCCGATGAAACGGCTCCTGCCATTGGTTAACTGCTGACAGTAATTTAATTAGATAGACATTAATTAGGATAATCACCTGGCTCCCGGTCGCGACGATCATGGCAAATTGAAGGGGATGATTTTATTGTTGGCTTGGGGGTGGGGTGGGGAATAAGTGTTGGTTTTACGTGAGCCCTGTTGTGTCCCCTTTAAGCTTTGTGACCACTGCTTTAGGAAGATTAAAAAGATGTGCAATTTACTAAACATTTTCCTACCTTCCCCCCCACCTCCCTCCCTTTGGAACCAAGGGGCGGAGGAGAGGATTCGACGATGCTAGGAGACTTTTCGGATCTGAATGAGCCAAATATTCAGTTGAATGTAACGATTTCAAGTGCAAAGTATACAAAGCGGGAGCCGGTGGCCTCTTCTCGCCCTGTAAAAGTTCCAGAGTCGGTCTTTTCCAGTTAATACAGAAGCACACAACACCTGAGCCAGTCCTTTGTGAGCAGGTCCTGCGTGTCTTCACGCTCCCCCTTCTCCCCCGGCTTTTTAACCACATACATAAATAAATAAATCACTGCTGCTGAGAGTCACAGCGATGGAAGTGAGCGGGAGGGGGAAGTGGGGGCGAAAGGCAGCAACTCACCCACCCATCCACGGTACCCACCTCAGGAAGGTTCGGTTTCTTGGTTGAGCACAGGAACAGTGACAATCTATGATCTCCTTTTTAAGTTTTGAAATAATCATAAGCTGTCGGTCTGAAGTGCCTTAATGTATTTGCAGTGATGTTTACAGGGTCTTTACTAAATATTTTATCAGTGAGCTTGGTGGCAGATTATCTGAAGAGCATCTAACTGGGAGCAGGCGCCACGCGTCCCTCCCGTCCTACTGCACTTCCTTCTCTCTGAGGTACTGGCTTGGCAACAAATTCAAAAGCCTCGCCAGGAAGAGAAAGGGCCGAGTCCCCGTGCAAATGGGTTCGCCAGAAGTGCTAATCTGGGGAGACAGAGTGGAAGTGGTGTCAACACAGTGATCATTACTGAAGACTGTGTGTGTGTGTGTGTGTGTGTGTGTTTAATGTTTATATAATCTAGAGGGGAGAAAAAGAATCCATGCCAGTAATTTTAAAAGGAGGAAGAATCTAAGGAAAAATAGAGAATAGAACCAATGTAAAAAGATATTGGCACAAATAAGTAGCACGAGGCTCAGAGCAACCCTGAGGTGTAGGGAGAAGAGACATGTCCCAGTACTGACTCTACAGAGGAGCCCAGCTCTCGGCCTGGACCAGAGGGCCAAGAGCGACCACAAAGCTGCTTCCCGTGGCCCAGCACCCGCCAACCTGCCCTTCCGTGGCTTTTCCGGTCGCGGAGCAGCGCAGGAAAGAGGAGGAGGAGGAGGAGGAGGAGGTGGAGGAGTGCCGCCTGGAAGCCAGCTTGGTCCCGCAAGCTGGAGGACAGGCAGGCGGGCTCCGCGCCGGGCGCTGCTGGGCTCGGCCGGGCGGGAAAGGCCACCTTCCGCTCCACCCCACCCCACCGCGCCAGGTGCCACGACCCAGGCCCGCCTGCGCGCGCCCGCTTCTGGCTCATTGTCTAATGTCTGCTAGTGGCCCGAGAGTGCGATCCCCAGCACCCAGACGAGCTCGAGAGGAAGCCGCCACCCGGGAGACTAAGGGAGCGCAGCGCGAGCGGCGCCTGGCACAGACCTCAGGGGTACCGACTCTTCCTGGGCGGGAGGCGCGGCCTGGCACCTTGGCCGGGTGGAGCCTCTGCCTTCAAGTCAGCGCGTCCGCCCTCCCCAGGCCGGGACAGCTCCCTCAGTGGCGACAGCACTGGGGGCATTGGGTGGGTCCTGGGCACTGGCCGAGAGGGATTAACCAGACACGATCTGGCGCCTCGCAGCTTAGCCGCTATAGTGCATCTTTAGAGGGGTGCCTCGGTGGACCCAACAGTCAGCGCTCAGTTCAGATCGCACCCCCGAGGCGGGCACCAGCTGCGGCCTCCAGCAGGGCGCCGCAAGCAAGGCCCAGGGCGGGAGGCGTTGGACGGGACAGGTTGATGACCAGATGTCCCAGACTCAAGCCGAGACAGTTTTCTGGGAGAAAAATAAAGCCAGACCCGTTTTCCCTTTCGAAAGCAAACCTCAGCTCCTGGCCAGAAAGCTTCATAAACAAGCAGAGCCTAAGATGTTGAGGCGTTGGGATGTGGGGGAGGGGAGAGTATGACACTATTTGATTCATTTTTCTGCCCTTTAGTTTCCACTGCCAAATCTCCTCATGAGGGGCTTTGGCCCTATTTTGGCCACTTTTCCCCGCTTCCTTCTTGGATCATTAGCTTTTCTGCTCCTGAGAGCCTCTCTCCACTGCTTCTGGAAAGTACACTTCTTCGATCCTAATGGGAAAGAGAACCTGAAGTGTGTAGCAAGAGGGCCAGACTCTGTCTAGGGTTTTTGAGGCTTTGCCATTTCTGCCACCCTGAACTGACTTAAAAAAAAAAAAATGCTAAAATGAAATAAGGTATGAAGGGTAGAAAAGGGGTAGAGGGTACCTTCCTCAAGAGCTTTTAAGGAATTATATTGGGAGATAAATGTGCACTCTGCCCACTTTGGATTATCAATACCAAATTCTCTGGTTCCTCACATATAGGCTAAACCTTGAATTTATATAGACAGATCAGTTGAGATTCATCTAGGTGCTGAAGAAGGAAAACTAAGGCTTTCCTCAGGACCAACATGCCTGCCCTTGAGCCTTACTTCTATGGAGCGGGGCATACAAACTATCCCAGGATCTTGTTAAAATTCAGATTCTGATTCTGTTGGTCTCGGGCGGGACTTCACTTTGTATATATAAGAAGCTCCCAGAAGACCCAGATGCTGCTGGGCCAGGCAGATCATGCTTTGAATACTGAGGGTAGAGCTTTCAGTGCCCCATACTAGTCTGAGAGCAAAGCAGGGACATTTCTGCACTACAGGTAAGTAGGAGTTTTGGTTCTTGTGCTGCTTTATCTCTGCGTGGTGGATGGATAAACAGATATGCTCACATACACACACACACACACCAGCTTACTAAGTTTGTGATTAACCAAGTTGTTTCACTACCTAACTGGGCCTGGGGCATCAGGCTGCTGCTAAAATAGCTGTATATCCCAAGAGACAAAGGTATTCACTGAACCACCTCTTAGAGCATCCTGATGTTGATCGAATTCAAATCTACACAGAAAATGTAGGTTTTTGCTTGGAGGGAGTTTGATAAGGTTCTGAAACTGGTAATGTCTCCAACACGAGCCAAGTGGAAGAAAATGGTCTGTGGCTGTGGGGAGTCCAGGAAGATGAGGCCATCAAATAAGGGCAAAGGACAGGGTCTGCACAAACTTTGCTGTTGCTATATTCAGTCATGAGATATTTTCCGGGGACTAAGTGGAAAAAAACAAAACCACCTTTCAATCTGAATGTTGAGAATAGCCTTTGGATTACTGGCGCCTTCTTCTGAGGGGATTTTATGAAAAAATATTGACCAGCTGTAATCAACAGTATCTGTGAAATAAGATACAGAGCCTTAATTTATAAACGGAAAAATCATGCATCAAAATAAATAATTAACCTGCACACTAGTTTAAATTCAGCAAAACAAACAAAAAACCAAAACTTTCCACTAGCTTCCACTTAGATTTTAATGGTATGTGGTTAGCTGTTGTAATTCTGACAATTTACATTAATATTAATTACATGTCCTAAATAAAGTGTATCAATCTATCACTATATTTAAAAGAAGAAATGCTCAGAATACCTTATTCGATAAAAAAGACACTGTTGAACATACTGGGAATTTAAGCCATTTCCACTTTCAGTTTCTGGTACCTTTTCATTAGACAACCAGTAAGAACCTTGAATTGTTCAAGCAGGGCAGTAATTTGGTCTATCATATCATTCATACAACGTCTAATAGGTTAAGTCTAAATTCTAAGTCTCTTAAAAAAAAAAAAAAAAGCAGAACTTCCTCTAATGAAGCCTTAGAAACATTCTCACCATATTTTCAAAAGAAGGGTGCAGACTAGAATTAAATGTTTACTTGGGTCCATATTGTTTGCCATACTCCCTTGGTGTTCCCAGTACGGTGCTATACCACAAGTATTAACTGGCGTAGTTACTTAGAAGCGAGTTGTCTGTGGAAACTGTCATTAGCCAAATTTTTTTCCTATTAGAAAACTGAGTACCTTCTAAGTTTACTTGGGAAAGAATGAGAGAAAACAGTAACAAAATTATTGCTTATATATTAAACTGACATTATGGCTACTTTTCTCATTTTGCATTAATGACATATTATATACCTCCTATGGCTATCTTAGCTGAAAGTCTAGTGGAGTTTGCAGCAGCCAACTCCCAGACAATCTCAAGACTGTTACTGGAACGTATTCTTTTAAAATACTAAAAAATATAAATTGAAATTGCCCTTTTTTTTTTAGTTACATATACTCCTCTGAGATCCTGAAAGATATTAACAAGATATTAAGCATATATTAATTTATGACAAATACTTTTAATAAAATATGTCAACACTGTTTCTGCGTTACTCACTAATGAGGTAGCCACTCATTAATGGTAACCATTTTAAATTTGTGAAGTTTTATCACCGTGATGTTTTATGTGTTATAAGATCTTAAAATGCAAAGGGAAACATCTTTGTGTGAGATTTCTGTAGCACTGTCAAATTTTATTCTGTCAATTTCACCCAGTGCCAAAAAGACCTCGGGAGACATAGATTGTAAATGTATTTTATTTTGTAAGCAACAATCAAAATATATTTGCGCTACTGATTTCTTCAAATATGAAATGGGAACTTAACAAAATTTGTCCACTTTGATGTATTCTTATACAACTTTGGAATCTGCAAAGACCCTGACTAAAGAAACAGAAGTAATTGCACAACTGAGACTGAAGGTGTTACAGTGCTGCAAATGATGCCAGATGTCTTACATTTAACCAAATACACCTTCAGAGGTCCCTTGATTTTCAGCATTAGGAACAATAGAGGAATATACACTGAAAGTATCACTAACAGCTTTTTATGTTGCTTTATTTAAATACGACAGTATCCAACATAGCTGCTAAACACTGGACAATATTTGAAGTCATAAGTACATCCACATGTTCCTCCAAATGACGTTTGGGATCCTAAAAGAAAAAAAAAAAAAGAAAGAAAAAGAACCATATTACTAGTAGATACATTACTTAGATTTTTTTTTTTAAGTAGTTGATGAAATTGGTAAAGAAAGTCAGACTGAAATTTATATATGTTTGACAACTTTAACTTTCCTAGTATACTGTTATAGTCTTAGGGTTTCTGAATCATTAAAAAGTTATATATCTGATAAAATAACTGATTACACAAGGGAAGATTGATGTACACAATCAATGCTATGACTCTGTACCAGAGACTATAAAGAGTAACAAGGAATTCTATACAACCACAATGATCTGGCTAAAAAAAAAAAGTACGTGCATACATATATGTGTATATGCTTGAGTACATGTGTGTATTCCCTGCCATTCACAAGTATTGAATGGCTGAGGGGTACTTTACTTAATGAAGATATATCAATAGTTAAAAATTCATTGTGAATTCTCCTCACTTCCTCTACATCTTGTAGAAATCAGGATTCTATATAATTTTAATATTCCAGGAATACTGCTTTAAATTATTCAGAAAAAATCCTTGGATCATAAATCATTAATTGTGCTCAGAAAATTTAAATTAATTCTAGAATGTTAAGAATAAATGTTTCACACAGGTATTCTGAAGAAATATAGAAAATTATATAGGTGCAGTCCTTTACCTTAAACCTAATCAAGTCTATTTTTGAAATAATCGAGTTAAAAATGAGGCTTAAAACTTTATTGTAGTAAGGAATTTAATTACGTTTAAGGCTGAATGCACTTATTTCAGCTGAATTTGAAAGCTTTGAAACAGGAGATACATACTGTACACAATACAAAACTTTCAATTAAAACAGTATTTTCTTATGAGTATTGTTAAAATACTCAAGACCCCACTTTAAATAAATGTTTATCACTGGAATTATTTCTTGGTTGTGCTCTTCTACATCACAATTTAAATACATTGATTTCTTTAAACAACCCAGATATACAGTATGCTACAAATAATTTGAAGTGACTAGACCACACACATACAAAAATTAAATTTTCTTTATTTCAGAAATAAGCCTTAGGGCATATTAGGTGAAAGAGACTGACAGGAGAAAAAGATATTAGCTATTCAGTTACAGACATTTTTACTTTTGCCATACAGCAGGACAAGCCAGTAATGTACTATATTTAAAAAAATTATTTTGATAATTATTAAACTCTGTCAAGTATATATTTTTTAATTTTCTTGTATTATAATTTAGTCCTTTTATTTGCTATTGTTAAATAAAATCTGCATTAATATACAAAATCCAGCAAATAACCAAATAATAATGTAAAGAAGAAGAGTTGTGGAAGTTTAAGAGAAAAACATTTTTATTATTAGAAAGGCTTAAATGTGTATCATATTCAGAAATTGTTTTTTTTAAAAAAAATCAATTTGTATATGAGTTGTTTATCAATAAACTATATAGCTTTATGAGCCACTTATTAAAAAAACAGTTGCTGAATTCTATCAAGTTCAAAAGTTAATAACAGAGTTAGTGATCTGATATTATATATTAGATTAAAATAAGTAGTGGAAAAAGACAAAAGTGACCATATCACCTAAGATGAGAGAATAACATAAACTACATTTCACCTCCTTTTTTTTTGGCTGCCGTTTTTAAACTATAATACTAAGAATATAGTGAAATTCATATTTAAGTCAGAACTTTGCCCCTACTGCTCTGTTGGAGTAATTGATTTTATAGTGAATTGGTAACACACTTCCCTCAGTTATCTACATTACTTCTTGTGGCAGCTGGGTGATTCTTAGAGATTTTCCATCCAAGAATGGTCCTGGCCCAAACCTACATAGCTTGTGAGATGTGATGGGATCAGAGCATATGGTAGGATGGATGAAAGCAAAGACAGCTTAGTGTCTTGCATCGGAAATATCAGGATTCTGCCAACATCAGCAATATGATAACCATGTTCCATGAAAAGAAAAAAATGTAATCAACATTCTTTAAAAACAGTCTAATTAATCTGTAGATTCCTTTAATTGGTTGATGTGCTCCCCCCATTCTCAGATAATAGGGACTAAATATATACATTTCATCTCAAAAAAGTGAAAGAGCAAATCCTTAAAACCCTTTCTCTTTACTCAGTATAACTCTACAGAGCTCTAAGTTTTCTCAGGAATATTACCTACATATTGCTGCCTATACGTTGATAAAATGTATTGTTTTTGTTAGGTGCTGTGGAGTCAGATCTGACTTATAGCAACCCTATGTACAACATAGATACATGTACAACATAGTACAGCATTAAAAAAAACTGTTACATATGAAATAAACCTATCATTTTATTATTTTCATTGATCTATAGTAAAAATAACACTTGAAAAATTAACTGAGGACACAAGTTTTCTAACTTCTAGTAAATTATTTTCACTAAAGATAGTATCTCATAGGTATAATTTGTGATTTACTTTTCCATAGGTGGCAAAGACAATTTGACAATATCAAATAATTCAGTGACTTTCAAAATTAGTATCACATTTACATGACAGAAGAAAAATGTAAAGTGGACAGAAAAAAAAAATCATACAGGCCCTAAAACAGTTTTAACTCTACCAAAGCACGTTACTATGCGACTGCTAACCTATTACAGTATACCTCACCTGCTTGCCAACATTCTTTATTGCCAGCTGTTCAGGTGTCATCTTATCTTCTTCTTCTACAGCCTGTGAATGAAACACAAAGGACAAAAGTTTCGAATTCTAAATTTACCTTTCCCCACTGCAGAATAATCACCAAAGAAAATGGTCTCATAATTTTCATTCAGAGAATCTTTTATTCAAAGAATTTATTAAAGTAAAAGTGAATCTGGCTGACCTTCAGAATAACTTCTAGGGTAATGAAAACTATTACCACCATCATTTAGAGAACAGACTTAAGAATATGTAAAAGGCATAGAAAATATCAAAGTGGACCACTCACAGGCAGTGTTTAACCATCTGGAAACCGTTAACGAGTTCTCTGAGGGATGACTAAACCGGAGACTGAAGTACCTGGGGTAACTGATTATGGCACTGTGTACTAACTAGTCCAGTTTTGTCTTTTCTTCTTCTTTCTACTTTCACGGTTCTCCCTCAGCTTCCCATTTCTTTGTTTCCCTCTTTTTGCCAACCCAGCCTGTGCATACCCAATACCTGTTTAACTATCAGTAGCACTAAGGATCAAAGAGCTGCTGACTTTTGATCCAATTCACAAACCATATGGTTTTTTCTGTTAACTTCACATATTTAAATCCCTAAATACATGTATTCAGAAAACACCTCACTATTCCACGTGAGTGATCTTTAGTAACCATGAAAAAATAGAGTAATTTGAAGTTTCCAACGTCAAAAAAATTACTTCACTTAAAAAAACCAAATTAATCAAAACAACACACACAAATCACTTTCTACCATTTCTAGAGTTAGCTACAAACTCTTATGTGTATGATCATAAATACTCTAGGAGAGTAATTTTGAAATAATCACAACATTTAGATTAGCTACCATCACTGCCCCTACACCCCAATAACAGTACCACCACAAAACCTCTTTACTGAAAATTCTAAATTTAAGCACTCAGCTACTAACCGAAAGGCTGGCAATTTGAACCCACCAGCCACTCTGAGGGAAAAAAATACAGCAATCTGATTCTGAAAATATTATAGCTTTGGAAACCCTATGCAGCAGTTTGACCATTTCCTGTAGGGTTGCTATGAGTCACAATCGAAGGCACATAACAAGTGTTTTAAGGAAACTCTTTTTTAACAGTTTGGGTATGTTATTGCCTGAAGATAGGACTGCATCAGGTGAACTCCTGGGCTATTTATTTATAGCATAAATGGAATAAATTTACTCCTGACAAATGGAAAACTCAGAAAATTTTTATGATCACCAACCTTAAGAAATACCACCACAGAACTTACCACAAAGATGGTTACAAAAGGAGGTGAGGTGGTGGTAGCAGAAAGCAGGAAATCAACATTCCAGTGAGGGTTAGATTTGGATACTCTAAACTTAATAATCTCACAGCTGCCAAATTTCTTCATGTGTGAACAATGAACATGTAGGAAAGGCAATCATCAGACATTTCCCATAAACTGGGAAGTTTGGCTGCATTTCACACCTTCTTAATAATTTTGTAAACAGAGAACTTGAAAATGAGCAAAGATGGCAAGTGTCTAATTTTATAAATGGACAAACTATCTAGAGAATTTTCCCCAGTAGAATCTGCCTAAAGAGACAAAATGGTGAATAAGTATTGTATCTACTAATTATTAGAGGATACTTATTTACAACACATCATTAGGAAATACATTTATGACTCATAAACCTGAAAAAAGAAAAAAGAAAAGTTAATAACACTTCAAATCTAGAATCCCCTAGACAGAGAATATGTTCATTTTCAGAGTCAGATGTCATTCTTATTATTCTCAACTAGTTATAAAAGTTATTTTCTAACTGGGAAATTGCTTCTCCCACTGTCTAAATGTTTTATATACATGGGGACGCTAGCAACACATTAAAACTTTTCTTTCTAAATTACTTTTACAAATTGTGACACAATACTTGATCGACTTAAAAGCATACTAGATGAATGGAACAATTCACATTAGTTTTTACTCCATAACCATTCAGTATTAGTTGTTCTGTGCAAATGCCAATAACAGTACAGTACTGGAAGGAGGCAAGAGTTTTGGAACTTGGCTCAAAATACCAATCCATGTACAAAACAGTTATTAGGGAGTAAATGTGGAGTGCTGAAAATATCAAAGATGGCAGATATACAAAGATACAGGTCAATATGCATTTAAAGCACTGATCTTGTGCAAAAGGTTAAACAGAATGGAAAAAGCTCTAACTCAAAATTTTAAAATCTTTTACATCATTTAGCCACTTTACCAATTAGTTTTTCCATTTCCAATAATTAAAAGAGAGTTCACAAACTCTTTGAGAAGTGCAGATGGTAAAAAGTACTCCCAGCCATAGATGCCATCTGGGAAATGAGGAGCAGCTGTAGATTTAGGCATATTCTAAGGTTGCAAACCCCTATGACAAAAGAGTAAAGCATATCTCTTCCATTCTAAGATAGACCAGATCATCATATCAAACTCCTAAATATTTTCTCCATCTACCTAAGTTACCTATATCTCATCTACCACCTGGGCAAGACCAGTTCGCCTTCATTCACAGTTCTAATCTGGCTAGTCACCAAGAAAAATTAAGAAATGATAGCAGTAGAAACAAACGAAATTCAGGCACAGGCATTGTCCTCACTGGGGAACTTCTGTGTTTATGGCAACTTCTGTGATTTGGCGTCAAAATTCGCTTTTGCATTTGTGCTCTTTGGTTTACTCAACCAACAAAAAAGCACTGAAAATGTTTGTGGCTATTCATACCACAAACGTTGTTAACAGTTTATCAACAAAGCCCCCCAGATGGCTATCCCATCATGCACGGTCTGCACAGTTCTAAGAAATTCTTGGAATTTGATCTGTTATGTGATCATAATCCCCTCAGATGTACCCCCTAACTTAAAAAAAATTTTACTGAACCCATTAACATCATTCTCTTTTTCTGATAATGGTCAAGTTTCTCAAATGGAAAAATGTGTATCTCAAATTCCACCATTTTATTTACCTGTTAACAAATACGGATTGGATCCTTGGCACTTCCTTAACTCTCTTCTAGGGATCTCCACCATGTCAGTTCCAACAGACTCAGTTTTGTTGAACTTTCTGAACACTTCTAAAGCTACTTAACACCTGTTTTCTATTCCTTTAACTTTTGTTTTCATGACGCCACATCTCTTAATCCATTCTATACTTCTCTGACTATTCTTTGGGCTTCTCCTCACCCCTCCTCCTTTGATCGGTTACCTTTGTTTACTCTATAACATGCCATGCTCTCATTTAATCAAATGCTTTTGGATATCACCTGTATGGCAATTTTTGCTTAAAAATAGAACATAAACTGCTAAATGGCGTATGTTAATTTTTCACCATTGAATAATCTCAGCATAATTGCTAGTGGATTTCAAGACAACATATTTTGCTTCTTTCTTGATTTTTATAAGGAGCCCTGGTGGTGCAGTGGTTAAGTGCTCAGCTGCTAACTGGAAGGTCAGCAGTTTGAACCCACCAGCCGCTCCACCGGAGAAAGATGTGGCAGTCTGCTCCTGTAAAGATTACAGCTTTGGAAACCCTATCGGGCAGTTCTACTCTGTCCTATAGGGTCGCTATGAGTGGGAATCGGCTCTATGGTAATGGGTTTGGTTTTGGTTTTTGATTTTTATATCAAGTCAATATACTGACTATATAATAAACAACTACATTATAGGTTACCGAGGTAGAGGATAGGCTTAAAGAAATGGCCTTTATAAAACATACATGGGATGCAAAATTAACAAACAAAAGAATTAGAAAACTTTCTGAAAAAGCATAAAAGCTGAATTTTCTGCTACTATCGGTGATTAAAAATTAACATACATATGTCTTGACAAATATTAATTTATTGAATCCTTAAAACATCCCAGTGAGGTAATCTGCATTTTACATACGAAGAAATTAGGAACCATCTCCTGGGGTGCCATATGGTAATTTCAGCAATACTTCTACCATATAAGGAATTTTTGGAACTTGTTTTTTGGAATAGCTTACAACACTCCAGTATATTTCTATGCATGTCCTCAACAGTGGAATTTTCATCATTTTACATATTTGATAATCACTATTAAGTACCTACTCAGTAAGACAGTTCTTGATCTCAAGGAGGTCATATTTGAGTTTTACTTGTCTGTAAATCTCAACTTATGAGATCTGAAACATATTTGTACAAGTAGCAATGGGAGAAACAGGTAAATAAGTGTACCTAACTTTGCCTTATGGATTGCTTGGAGGGAGAAGTTCAAGGTGAATGCATGAAGAATACATTAAGGGAGAATACATCAAGGGAGAATACATCATGTGATACATAAAGAGAAAACTGTTCCTCTTTTGAACAAGTAGCATTTGAAGTAATTGGGCCATTCAAGTGGAAATATCTAAGAATTGGTTAAAGAAGAGAATAAATTTCAAGCAGAAAAAAAAGGAATTTGAAAATTGTCAGCATGGTTAAACCATGAAAATAGATTTAAAAAAAAAAAAAAAAGGTCTAAAAACAGAAAAGCAAAGGGGCAAGGCTGAATCTTGGTACTTCTCCTGGCAGAAGTACAGAAAGGGGGCTGGCTAGCAAAGGAAGCAGAGTGGTAGCTACCAAAGAGTTATGGGAACCAGGGGAGTATATGGCCATGGAAGTAAAGAGACTTAAGAAGTTGAAAGGTAAAAAGTGAAAACAAGAGAAGAGAGACAGTAACTGAAAAAGTAGAGATACAAGATTGAATGGGTGCTAAGAAAGGAATTCAATCACCTCTTAACAAGCTGAAAATAGTAAACTGTCATCACCAGCCCCACTCCATCATGGAGAAGTTATGCCTCTAAGAACACTGGAGGCTTAAGGAAAAGCTCAGTGACCTAGGAGGCTATATTCTGTCCAGTCAGACCTAAAGAAAGGACCGGGGACAAACTGTGCCACGAAGGAAAATAGCTGAAGGTTAACAAGAAAGCTACTTTGCAGACAGCATTATATTTCTTTAAATTTTAGAAGTTTAATGTTATGGCACCATGAGGCGGGGGTGGGAAGGACTTGAC